CAAAAAAAAAAAAAAATTCTTCCATCCCATTTTGAATTTTGGAGACCTTTGTCTTCAAAGCAGAATACTCTCTTCAAAGCATATACTTAAGTCCATATTTAACACCGCTGGGTAGGTGGGACTCATTAACCCGGATTTTACACAGCAGATGCTTGAGCTTATTGAGAACTAATAAATATATGCTCATTGCCTCTGACAGATCGGTTCTCTACTTTCTTTCCAGTTCAATAGAAAAGTGATGAAAATTGTATACCAAAATTCTGTCATGTCAGCTCCCAACCACTCCACTATCAATTATGACATGTTTGTTCTCATCGGCATCCCTGGCCTGAAGGAGCTGCACACGTGGATCTCCATCCCTTTCTGCCTGATGTACCTGGTGGCTGTATCAGGAAACGGTCTTCTGATCTGTGTGGTGGCAGCAGAGCGCAGTCTTCATGAACCCATGTACCTCTTCCTCTCCATGCTGGCTTTTTGGGATCTGATTCTATCCACATCCACGGTACCCAAAGCCCTGAGCATCTTCTGGTTTGATGATGTTGACATCTCTTTTGGAGGCTGTGTCACTCAGCTCTTCTTTATGCATTTTGCCTTTGTAGTGGAGTCAGGCATTCTCTTGGCCATGGCTTTTGACCGCTATGTGGCCATCTGCTACCCACTGAGATACACCACCATTCTTAGCCATAGTGTCATTAGCAAAATAGGGGGTATTGTGGTGTTTAGGAGTTTTGCAACTGTCTTCCCCATTGTCTTTCTTGTGAAGCGTCTACCCTTCTGCCGGACAAACATCATTGCCCACACCTTCTGTGAACACATGGGGCTGGCAAAGCTGGCTTGTGCTGATATCACCATTAATATCTGGTATGGAATCTCTGTGCCTCTACTCAGTGTTATGCTAGATATGGTAATGATAGTCATCTCCTATGGGCTCATCCTTAGAGCAGTCTTCAGGCTTCCGTCCCATGAGGCTCGGATGAAAGCGCTCAGCACCTGTGGTTCCCACGTCTGTGTCATCCTCATGTTCTACCTTCCAGGGATTTTCACTGTCATTGCTCAGCGCTTTGGCCAAAAAATCCCCAAGCATGTCCACATCTTGCTGGCCAATCTCTATGTACTTGTTCCCCCCATGATGAACCCAGTTATCTATGGAGTGAAAACCAAACAGATTCGGGAACGAGTGGTACTTGTGTTTTCTCCAAAAGGGAAATGTTGCTGAGGCTGTCTGGACCTCACTGTAGCTCCTGAAAGGAGAGAAGCAGGGGTCCTATTAGAAGACAGATTACAGATAAGATATTATTTCAAAGATGATCTTCTTGCTATGGCAGTAAGTCTTTTCTTCATAAAATTGGAATGATTCAAATTGCATAAGTCCCTTATTTTAAAGGGAGGTAAGTTCTTGAAGGTCTGTGAATTCACAGATATAAATATTACTGTTTAAATGTCCATAGATTTCTTCAGTGTTTAATGATATGATATCTCTATTTCTACCAAACAAAAATAAAATTAGTATATAAAATACTTTTCCTCTGCTATTTAAATTTTAAATCTATAGGTACTCTCTTCAACAGCTATTAATATATATACTAGAAAGAATGAACCCCCTAATGGATACAAACAGGGGAAATGTGGAAACTCTTCTTTCTAACTTTATTCACCAACAAATGAGAACACCTAATAATATTAGACAGAACTATCCATACCTGTGATACGATCTTAGAGTGCTGTAAGTATATAATTGAGGTGTGGGGGGAGGATGGAAGATAAGATAAATAGGTCAAGCATTTCTGATATATAGCCTGCTCCGAATGCCAGAAGTTTTGTAAAAATCTCCTAATTTGCCATTAAGCAACCCTTCTTTTTAAACTCCTTAACACCTGTCTCACAGGCTTGTTGTGTGAAAGTATAAGGAGAAAGTGGATGTTAAAGCACTTTAGGAATTACAGAATTTTATTAAAATGTTGGTTGTATCATTGTTATTATTGTCATTATGTTTCCTGGTATGAGGAAACCTTATGGTCAAAGGTTAAAAGCAAACAAGGCAAAAACCTCCCTCACAGGGATGTCCAATCTTTTTCTTCTCTGCTACACATTGGAAGAGTAAGAATTGTGATGGACCACATTAGAGATAAAAACAATAATGAAAGTTGACAAGCAAAAAAAAAAAAAGAAAAAACAGGTCAATGTATAATTTTTGTGATATCTGACACCACAGATAAGCAAAACAGTCCTCCAGTAATCCACATGTGGCCCGTGGACTGCAGGTTGGACACTCCTGGCAGCAAGTCCTTCCATCTTCCTCCTTCTTTTTTTTCTTTCTCCACCAGAAATTGTTTATCAACAGTGAAGTGTCCTTGTGCAGCATTTTCCTATCAGGTTTGTGCTACTCTCTTTGGATGGACGATGACAACAGACACTATAAGGTCTCCATCTCTTTGCCCAATTACCAGGTGGTGTGAACTGCTGATGTCTCTTGGGCTTCCCATCCTCAAAACCCCTAGGGGAATTTTAAGAAAATTTTACCTTGTTGCATAACCATAGAACCTCTTTCTTCTCAACTGTATGCTCACATTCCTGGAATATGTGAGATATCAGGAAAATATTTTGCATTTTTTCTGAGTTGGAGTTTTCTGGATAAACTTTTTCAAAAATTTTGGATGCTGGGCTAAGCACAAGCTTTGAGAAATTCATTTACAACTACGTAGATATTGAGAAAACTCCAGAGAGATTTAACTAACTTCAGAAGCATTGTGACATTCCTGGTTCAGAAAGCTGGTGAAAATGGCCTTATCTTTCCACTGCCCCCTAGGAGATTCATTTCTCATCAGTCTTTAGGGAAACATCCTCAGAAGTGGGGAGGTATGTGAATAAGGGTGGGAGTTAGGAATAGTCCTTTAGGCTTTTATAAAGAGAGAAAATATATTTTACTTTGTTGCCTATGATGCACATTTCATATGTCTAGGGCATTTTTTCAAGCCTTCATTGCATAGTTTCAGGAGTCAGAATCACCTGTAGGGGGATGACATAGTTATTATTTGCTTTTTAAGTGAATAATAACAATAAGTCTCTGGTCCAGAACATTTTGTATGTATATTCAGAACAAAATTATAAAATAACTATTTTAAACCCAACATGGTTCAGTGCAAATTCCTAGTGTAAATAATCTTCCATTTCTGTGAAATTCAACTCTGTAGGGTTCAGCAGCTGCCATCCCTGTGCTTATCCCTGTCTTTCCTTCCCACTTTTTTTTTCTCTATGCCCTGTAATCACACAAATTCCAATAAAATAATATGTCGTCTCACCACCAACGATAATGCTGCCAAGCTTAGGATCATGGAGGGTCATTGCCAAAGTGACTGAGAGAACATAAAACTCAGAGTTCAGAAGAACAGAGGCCAATAGAGCACTTGAAGTTTAAGTGCAGCTGTTTAAGGACAAAAGTTACGGTCTGAGCTGCGTTCAGCTGCGTGAGTTGAGCTTCAAGAGGACTGGAGCCAGGGGTGTGTAAGAATTGATGAATGCTTAATAACTAGTTTTGGGGAGCTGATTTATAGTCATTGATTCACAGGAAGTATATATTGTCACTATGGCTGATTCCAGGCTGAAGTATATATTCTCACTATGGCTGATTCCAGGCTACCAATATGATATTGATCTGTATGCAAAATTCCTGACAATCTAATACTTGTCTCTTTGGAGCCAAGAGGAACAGCCTCTGGCACATGACTTTGTAGCTCTTGTTGGGCCTGACACAGGAATTAAAATGATTTAACTCACAAATCATCTGAGAAAATGAAATCTTTGAGCTAGAGAAATCCTGCCCTGTTTCAAGATAGAATAGTGAGTGGATAAACACAAAGATTTTGGAATCAGATAGGCTTATTAGCTATATGTCATCATATGTTACTTATATAGTACTGAGACTATTATTCGACTTTTTATTGAGGTAAAATTCACATGACATATTATAAAATTCTCCATTTTTAAGTGTACAGTTTAGTGGCTTTTAGTACCTCTATAATGTGTATCATTACTACTGTCTAATTCCAGAATATTTTTGTCACACGCCCCCACCCCAAGAAACCCTTTATTCACTAAGTAACTACTTATCATTTCTCCTTCTTCCATTAATCTACTTTCAGCCTCTACAGATTTGCCTAATTTGGCCATCTAATTTAAATGGAATTACACAAGATTTCAGCTACTTGTGTGTGATTTCTTTCACTTAGCATATTTTCAAGATTCATTCATGTTTTAGTATGTATTGAAACTTCCTTCTGCTTCAGGCTGAATAATATTTATTGTATGGATATACCACATTCATCAGTTGATATACATTTGGCTTATTTTTGTTTTTGTTATGATGAATAATGGTGCTACAAACATCCATTTACCAGTTTTTGCTTGAATAGCTGTTTCATTTCTCTTGGGTATTCACCTAGGAGTAGGATTGCTAGATTATATGGTAATTCTATGGTTTACTTTTTAAGGAACAGCCCAAATGTTTCCCTCAGTTGCATCATTTACATTTCCAGTCTTCCAACAACATACCAGTGTTCTAATTTTACCACATCTTCACCAGCACTTTGTATTTTATACATTTGAAAAAAATTATAGCCATCCTAAGGGATGTAAAATAAAACAAAGTACTTTTTTACAAAGAATTAAAAAGTAATTTTTCCTCACTCTTCTTTTTCCCTAAGTTCGAACTAAGCTTCAGATTCCAGAGGGAATGGCATGTATGGAGGTCCAGAAAGAAAGAGAACATGCTTTGTTTGAGTAATTGAATAGCTGTAATATAAAGGGCATAGGAGGGAGGAGGGGGTAAAAGGGGAGGGCTGGGGCCAGTGGACCACAAGAAATAACTGGTTAGAACTATCATGCCATAAAAGGCTTGAAGATACATGTTAGAAATGTGGGGCTTTATTCAAAGCAAACTGGATAACTGCTGAATGATTTTAAGTTAGAAGAGTGAATTGATCTAGATTTAGAAAGACCACTGTAATTGCTGAGTAGAAAATAGATGGGAAAGAAATAAAAAGATTAGAGGCAGCAAATTCCTAAATGAAGCCATTGAAAAAATTCAAGAGGCACAGTGATAATCATGGGATTTGTTTGGGTGGGGATGAGATTGTTGTTTTAGACATGGGGTCTTGCTTTGTGGTGAGATCCCAGCTCACTGTAGGCCCAAACTCATGGACTCAAGCAATTCTCCAGGCCCAACCTCCTAAATACCTGGGACTACAGACATGTGCCACCATACCTAGGTAATTATTGTTATTATTATTTTTTTTTTTTTTGCAGTTTTTGGCCAGGGCTGGGTTTGAACCTGCCACCTCTGGCATATGGGGCAGCACCCTACTCCTCTGAGCCACAGGCACTGCCCTAATTATTATTTTTTTTTAGAGCCAGAGTCTTGCTACACTGCCCAGGTTGGTCTTGAACTCTTGGCCTCAAGTAATTTTCATACCTCAGACTCCCAGACTGCTGAGATTATAGGGATAAGCCACCAGGCCTGGCTTGTATCATGTTTTAGTGTAAACTATGTGAATGAATTCAAGTGATATTTAGAATATCAAATAAAAAAAAGGTAGATTTTTAAATAATTAAAGAAAATATATGAGATAAAGAGGACAAACTTTGATGTGGAAAACTGGTTAAATTTTGTATTCCATTGAATAAGATAAAGAATTCAAGATGTCTTTTTTTTTTTTTTTTTTTGAGACGGAGCCTCAAGCTGTCACCCTGGGTAGACTGCCGTGGCATCATGCTCACAGCAACCTCCAACTCCTGGGCTCAAGCGAGTCTCCTGCCTCAGCCTCCCAAGTAGCTGGGACCACAGGTGCCCGCCACAACGCCCGGCCATTTTTTGGTTGCAGCCATCATTGTTGTTTGGCGGGCCCGGGCTGGGGATTCGAACCCGCCACCTTAGGTGTATGTGGCTGGCGCCTTAGCCGCTTGAGCCACAGGCGCCGAGCCAAGAATTCAAGATGTCTTGATCATAATGAAATAAAATGGAGAAGATGGGAATTTTTATTTGAAAATGCTAATTTTGAAGGTTCAGTAAGAAATTCAAGAGGAGGAATTAAATAGAGCAGTGATTTTCAACCACTGTGCGTGCTCTGTGGAAGTATAGATTCAAGTTTGTCATGAGATGAAAAAAAAAAAAAAGGATTGAAAACACTGAAATGGAGAGTAGACTATATGGGACAGAGAAGT